TATTGCGTGGTTGAGAAAGCTTCCTTTGGAATACGAAGCTTTTCAATATAATGCCAACCGAAGCTCGAGTGCCCTGCACTATTTCACGCCTGTCCCAGAGCATCAGGGAGTTTTTTCGTCTTGCAGTGAGACGGCTCGGATGGAGATGCAGGGGGACACGGTAATGATGATGATCATGATATTGGCGATATTCTTGATGATCAGGATGCTGTAGATCTGGTGACGATGATAATCAGTCTGACTTGTTCAGCAAGACCCGAGTATTCCCATGAAGAGCGTGAATCTACCAAGGCAGGCGAGGCCCGCTCCGCTATCTCTTTTATGTGGACTTCCTGGCCAATGCCTGCATCCCAGAAAGTGAACTGTTGGCTTGTCGGCCCAAAGCAGCCCAGTCTGGATCAGGGCTGGTAAAAACTGGATGTCAGCATGTCATCACCCACGGGATCTTGCAGTTTGGGTGGTGTAGCACGCGAAGCCACGAAGGCACAGATAAGGATTTGCAAAACAGGGTTTTGCAGCGATCGCTTCAAGTCTTCGAATCCTCACCTGCAGCTTGTTGCATTTGCACCCCTTCCCACAGAGCAGGTGGATGAGCACAACGTCACGAATGCGCTGCGGCACTTGCAGGAGATGACTGTGTTCTTCAGAGTGATGCTCGGACTGCGAGGTTTCACTTGTCCTTCCGGATGAGACAAGAGACGTCACCACCCTTTTCATAATCCTAAGCATCATGCCCAGCCCTGTGAAGCTACACACCCTCCACCCCCAAGCCATTGGGTGAATGGGCCTTGCGACCAGTTGACGATTCTCGCCTGTATCATCTTCAGACCTTGCCTGGCGCAGTCCGACAGCATCCAAAACACCACTCACAGTTGAATAATGTCGAACTTGTGTCCGCTGCCCGAAGCCAACGCTTTTGGGCGCTCGCTGTTTACTCAAGCTTCTGCTGTTGTGTTAGTTTGTTGCAGCAGATTCCGCTGTTCGAAGTGTCTCTCGCGAAAAGCACGCCCAAGCCAAACCCCAAGCTCCAGGCCACACCATCAAATATCAAACGTAAGAGTCAGAGACCTGCGGTGCTGTGTCCATGAGCCGGCAAGGTGTTTTGCTGGGTGCCCGACCGAGGTTGGGATCGTTCCCGCAGGGCGGGGCCCTTGTCGGCCTCGCACACCTGGAAGACCGGATGGTACCCTCCGCACATGGTTTGAGTTTTTGGGGTTTAGGGCTTAGGGCCTTCGGTCAGGCCACTTCACGCTTCGAGTGCCTTTGAGAGAGAGTATATGAGATATTTCAACATGGAAGATTTTCTTGTTACAAGTACAGGATCCGGGCTTGTTTTCACCATACCCTCAACGCCCCATAACACATGAGGAGCCGTGGTGCTGGTGAGCAGGGGGTTTGACATGCCCTCTATGCCCGAAGGAGCCTTTACGTGCGTGTTAGCGGGTTGGTGTGCGCTGCCTGAGAGAGCGACTTTGAAAATGTGTGTTCCTTCTGAAATGATGCTTCTAACCCTGGTTCCATGCTTGATGGTCATGTTGTCGGGTCCCCGGTTCGAGGTTCTTCAAGACGGCTACAGCATAAACGGGACTAATCAACAAATATGAAGGAAGCTCTTCTTATCACATCGTCATTATCATCGTGTTAGATGCTTGCCGGGTTCGTCGTCGTAATTGTTGAGATCGGACGGCACCTAGTCTTGGAAGGGGCCGAAGCAGTTCGGAAGTAGCTTTGTCATCAGTGGGTTTACTGTTGTCCAGGGTTCAAGCCTCAAAGCTTCGCAGGGTTCGGGCACGTGCTGCTACTTTTTGTATCGGTTTTGGCCAGCATATCTCTGAACTGAGTCTTTCGAAAATGCGAAGCTCCTTCAGCGTAAATAAGAATCTCCTCAGTTACGTACCGGTCCCGACAGGTTCCGATTTTCCGTCCAGCCACCGAGCCAAAGAAACGCATCGGGGTCCTGGGCTTCGGCACCTTCGGTCAGTTCATCGCCGCCTGCCGTGTGGAGTAAAGGTGTTGGGATGTCTTTTGAAGCCTCCCCACGGCCAAGGCGTTGGGAGGCTTTGGGTTGCTAGTAGGCTTGCGGGTGTGGCTTGAGCCCGACGCGAAGCCAGCTAGATCCACAAGCGGGGCGGCATCAACTCCACAATTTCCCAGGCCGTCTTCAGGCCTCCTCTGATAGTCTTAATAGTGCTACTTGTGCCGTTGCTCTCAAGGCAGGCTTCCAAGAGCAAAGCAAGCTGCCCTTTCAAGCCGAGGGAAAAAAGCTAGCGCTGGACCACTTCGTGTTTGCAGCCAGCCGGGAGAATTACTCCGCAATTGCAGCAAACTGTGGTGTGAATCTCGGCTTGAACAAGGCCTCCCCAGCAGGAGATGACCAAAAGCTGCTTAGATTCCTCCTGCTTTTGTTTCAGAAGTCAAGACTCTGCGAGGACCTGGTGTGATTCAATAGACCAACTCCTGGATCAGCAGCTCGACGTGCTCATTATTTCTGCTACTCAGCTGCAAACTCTGCTATCCCAGGACCATTTGCCGTGCTAGCTGTCTGCCGTGCTAGCTGCTGTCTTCCCGCAGTGATAGTGGACGCTGAGTCGCGAAGGTGAGCATTCTGAGCTTTGAGGGCATGGTCCGGCGGATATGTAACTGCATTGCCTCCAAAGACGCTGCTCATGGGCGCAGGCCTCAGGGAGTTTGTTTCCAGGACCGGGGTAGCACTAGGTCTGAGCACAAGGACACATACATACATATATATATATATATACACATACATATAGCCCGGCACTAGACCAGCACTGCACAACGACTACTCCTAGGGCCTGTTTGGTTCATAATCAGTCGCTTGAGGTCTCGGAAGATGCTGGTGGTAGACGTGCTCTCTGTGAAGGCACGCTGACTCTGCTGCCTGGCGTGTCCTGAGAGAGTGTGAAGTTCCCTGTGATTGCTCGATCTCGCGCTGTGTCACAAAGCAGGTGCATGCAAAGACAACCCTGGCGGCCCTTCTGCCAGAAACCTGCGAAGCTAGGCTGTTATTGCATGAGGCAAGCTCCACGACATCTCTGGGCCTGGGCACGGATCCACTCGTTGATCCCTTTCCAGCCACACCTGAGGACATTTTGTGCACGCATCCGATGTTCGGTCCACAAAGTGGCAAGCACGGCTGGAGCGGATTGCCCTTCGTTTTCGAGCGGGTGAGGCTCAACAATGCCAGGTGCTCGGGGCTTTCTGCATGCTTTCTTTCGGTAGCACGGTTCTTGCGGTGATTGTTTGACTACTCGGTGTCGGCGTGGCAGCAAGCAACGGACGATACAGAACGGCAGCAGATTTCTAGGAACACCTTTCTATGATGTCCAGTAGTGTTCTCGGAAGGAGGTGTGAGGAGTTCCTCAAGTGGTGGACAAGTCAAGGATGCCGGATGGTGGCTGCTCGGATATGCATGCAAAGCACACTATCTCGTCAGGGTTGAACGAAGTCCAGATCATAAGTTGGTTCAAGCTCACCAAAATTGCGAGCCAGATTCGCGACCCTTCGTGACCCTGCAGTGCCCAGCCCCAAGTCAATAGAAGAGCCCAAGCAGTTTTGTCCTCCTGAAGCTGCCATGTGTGGCATGGCCATCAGAGCGCCAGAGCGGGCGTTTTGCGCCCGTCTACCGACATTCCGATTCATCTCGATCGATTGAGGGTAAGCGGGATGTGCTTAGACACTGTAGCTCTTTAGTAGCCGTCCTTTATTCTGTTGCCAACTCGGCAATGATTTTCGAAGTTCTTTCGTGCAATCCGTGGTCGGACCCTCCCACCCTTACAGTGTGGCATACTCAGTATGGATTGACTCATTTTATCGAGGAACTTGAGGGGAGGATTGGTCCTTTCTTGAAGCCTTGGCGGTTGTGAGCCAACTTTTGCGCCGCCTCTTCCCACACGGGGAGCACAATGTTTGGCACAAGGCGTGCAAGGTGCGTGCAAAGAAGCGTTGACATGATGTAGATGGGTTTTCGGAGACGAAAGCAACAGCAAGCTGCCAGAGTGAAAGCTTCAACCCGGCAACAAGGATTGGCATGCAAGTAGACTCAAGCATTGCTAGCGGGCAATGTCAAGTCAACAATCTGAGTATGGCGGTAATGAAGCGCAACAATTGTGAAATAGTGCTTGCAGGGTTGCTTCGTGAAGACTTTTTGCAGACCCCTCCTGTGCTCTCGCTTTCCTGCGGTGTCCTTCCTTACTGGCGTATCAAGCAGAGGATATGACGTGCGAGCTGCATGACGAAGTGGCCGCCGGCAGCCAATTCGTCACGCATTTCACTGGCAGGGTGCTGGAACGCCTAGCCTTGAGCAGCGGGCCCATCAATACGAAGGCACCCAGTTCTTGAAGTAATTTCCAGGTGCATGCGTCAAGTTTTCTGTCGGAAGCACAGCTACAGATCGCCATGTTGGATAGTCTTTTGCATTGGTATTACTGGAACGTGCATGCTTGTGATCTAAGATTTTTTCATATCCGGAGCACTCCTGCGAACCGCTGTCCTCAGGGTTTCGAGTCGTTACTTCAGCTGGTGGAGAACACATCCAGAGACAGCTTTGACCTCTTCTACGCGTCGCATGGCGAGATCGGATCCTCAGGACCTCTGCACTTGAACGTCAGAGCGTTGTCGCAAGTTGGGATCTGAGGCTCTTCAAGTTCAACCCGAACTCATCCCAACAGCTGAATTCGATGGAGCAGGCCGTGCAGGACCTGCTCGTGACAGCTTGGACTCCCACCCAAAGCGAAGACATTTCTGTGTCTCTGCCCCAACGCAGCCCATACACACGTGGACTCACTTAACAGCGGTGTCTTTCACCGCTAACTTCAACGTGAAACACTGAGAAGCCCGAAGAATTCGAGGATGTCTCTGAGCAGCTTCGAAAATGTAAAGGATGAGCCTCGGCCCTCGCCTCAGCAGCTTGCAGGCGAAGCGTGCGGCCGAGGGCTTTTGTTGACTGCAAAGGTGTGCTTGGGTGGATTGGATGGCTTGGGTCGACATTTGGATCGGGGTTGCGTTTCGCATGGCCCTGACGATGTCAAAGTGGCCCGGACAAACACGGGCTTGCTAGGTTTGCTGTTTGGGGTTGCATTGCCACGCCCGGCATCCTCTTCGGGGATCCTCGAGCCTTGTGTTCGCCAAGGTCGCCACGCGTGACACGCCTGGGGTTCATTGCAAGTTCTCCCGATGAAAAAGCCGGGCATGGGAATACTTTTTCCTGCATCTGCACGCTGCATACTTCGCCCCTGAAGCACGGTGAACCTCTGGAGGAGCCTGTCAATGTTTTTGGAGGCTTCAGGCCTCATGGTGCGTCCTGCTCTTGCAGCGCTCGTGTTCCTGTGCACCCCATCCCAGCCATGGTGCACATCCTGAGCGCATTTGCTACCGGCATCGGCTAACCTGCTCGGTGCGACGAACTGTGTTGAACATTATGCGACTGAGTTTTATGCAAGCGACTCTCCGCTGTAGTGTTGCAATAATAGCAAACATTAATGTAGTGAGAAAAGGTGAGAAATAACGATAAGTAGCCTGCGGAATCTGTTCCCCCCCAAGGGCAAGATAGAGCCGCTGGCTGAACAAGACCGAAGGTTCAAGCGCCCCAGCTAACTTATGCCCAAATCCTCTAGCATTGCAATAATAGCAGCGCTGTATGCAATACTGGCGAAAGCACATGCCTGTGATCATCTGGCCAAGGATCCGAGCAATCGTAAACAAGCCCCAAAAAAACCTAAGAGTGATGATTCCCAATCATGCCGAATCAAGCTCCTAATAGTTCTAATCAGGCAAAACCGGCTACCACTTGTGACGAAAGAAAGATCGTGATTGTCACGAAAGTAGCAACTTCCTGCAAAAACCAGAGGTGTCCTTATCCACACCGCTTTTATTCAGAGTCTGCTCAACATAATTGTGTTGCCGATGATGACGGTCGTCACGGTCGTCAGGGCCGTGATTGCGCAAATGATTCATGCTCCTAATCATGTCAGTGCCCTGATGCTAAGAGTTTCCCAAGTTTTGACAACAGTATAGTAAATGACCGATAGCCATGAACATGTGCTGATAGTGTGTTTGCAAACTTGTCGTTGTGTTCATGAGGCTGAGCTGATTAGCATCAGTTTCTGGCTATGTTCCGACGCTTAGGCGCCATCTCCGCTCTGGCTCCAGAATGCCGAAGGCAGATTCAAAACCCAGACACAGACAACAACCCCGAAACAGTGATGACGACAGAGCTAGGCAGAATTAGCCCTGGAAGCAGCTAGCCTCCTCTTGCAATGTCGCATGCTGTGGACGATGGTCAGCTTGAAGTGCGTTTTGTCTTTCCAAGCATTCGGAAGCACTCGAGTCACTCTAGTCTCGAGGTTGGACCTGGTGTAGTGTGCAAGTCGAGGTTTGGCCGTAGCAAGGCTGCTGTCAGTTTGTCGCGGTTTCTGCCATCCTCAGCCCAACCCAGTCCGTGTGGAACACATGAGCGGACGGAGTTGGGATAGTTGATCTGAGGTTTTTTCAGCGATGCATCGAAGAAATGTCCTCCGAGTCGACTCGGAAGGAGCTTGCGAATTCCGACTCCGGAAGGACCTGCCAAGTGAGTCCAGCTTTGCAGTCGCAGCAGAGCTTGCGAACTTGGGACGCCTCAGTACAGGGATGGCCTGAACAAGTTTTGCGAGGGTCCCGAAAGTGCCTATGGCCGAAGAAGGCTGTGGATTGTAGCCAGGTATGGACATGACACATTCCTTTGATGGGCTGTGCTGCATGACCGCGTGCCCGCGTAACCTGTCCAGGCCGGGAAAGCACCTGACAGAGCTCCAGGCTCGGGATGTGGGATCTGGAGACCGCCTTTTATAACGTTTGTGTCTTCGGGGTGTCCGAGCCAGGCCCTGGGCGGCCGACATGCTTGTGTTTGTGAAACATATGTCTTGACTCTTGCAAAGGCATGGGCTGCTTTTTCGGGATTTCGGGGCTGGAGCGAGCTTGAGCGACCTTTGGCCTTGCAGTTGTAAATGAAGCCCCTACAACGGCGACACAGAGTGCCTATCCAGAGCCTTAAAGCATTGAACCTCCTGAAACCGAAGTGCAGACTGTTTCTACAGTGGATCATTTTAGTACTGTAGAGGGGCCCTTGTCAAACACACCCTGTACAGTCTTTTCAGGCCAAGATTTGGGAAGAGCTCGGGATCTCCGTGGTTGATGGCCGTGCTGCGGTGGCGCGCATCCCTGGATCGGGCCAGGCAGACGTGATGGAATTAGGTTTGCGTGTGAAAATCAATGAAGACAGAACGGAGCTAAACCAGTCTAGGATGCCCGCGGAGTCGTAGCCCACCGCAAACGTCATTTTTAATATTTTGGCGGTATGAGGGTTTCTGCGACAGGAACCTCTATCCCTGCAGAACTATCCCAAACCCAGAGTTCCGATTTCAAGAAAAACCGAAACCAGGCCAGCAGCGCTGTGGCCACGTCGTCCTTGCCCGCACTGAAGCAGGCTGCGAGCCCGGAGGGATGAAGTCGGGGGTGGCCGTGCAGGGATCGCGGTTGGAGCATGGAGTGCCAGTCGTCGAAGGATGTTGAGTCAGACATCTCCATTTCCATGTTGAAGGAGGCAGAAACATTCCAAGAACAATTCTCGTTTTCGTCCACCAGCACAAGGCATGTGCGCAGTTCGACGAACATGTTTTAGCCGGGCAACTCTCACCACATAGAAAGCACTCGAAACAGTTTAAAATTTGCAAATGCCACAGCCACGTCAGTTTATCCACCGCAAGCCACAAGCACCCAAGAAACCATCCCAAGCCACCAACCCAGCAAAGCATCATAACCTGTCAGAATCGCAACCCGCAGTGCCTAGCTTTGAAACAAGGCTTTCAGCCCAGGCCCTTCAACATGGTAACGCGCGCCCTAATGACCATGGGGTTTTGGCAGGGTCCATGTGTACGTAAGATTTGCAAAACCGTTCTAAACGTGGGGTTGTGTGCAATTTTTTGACGGAAGGGTTTGTTTTGGATGCTTTCAAAGTACTTTTTTTTTACCACGGTTTTGCGTGTCAAAGCACGAAAACGCTGGCCCCAGCGGGAGACTTCTGACTTCCGGATGCGAATTGTGCAGGTGGCCTCTGTTTGGCACAAATTTATCTTGTTCTTGGCGTTTGCAAACCGACTAAGGTCCGCGACAGCTGCTTTGGAGTATTGAAACCAAACACACAGGAAAAGCAAGGATTATGATGGTCATGATCAGGATGGTGATGTTGATGATGTTGATGACGTGAAAGCACTGTTCTTACCAGGGTTTTGTGTGTCGAAGCACGATAATCATGGTGATGATGATGATGATGATGATGATGATGATGATGATGGCCGGCACGTTGATGATGTTCATGGGGTTGGTGGTGAAGTGGCGGTCATGACCCCCCCAAACGCGCCAAAACCTGGCCAAAAACCCATGGTCATTAAGGCGCTCGTTAGCTTCGACATGAAAGGGTTTCGAGAGGACATTTTGGGATATGGGCTCGTGATTAACGTGTGCAAACTAGTTGCACTGGTTTCCCCTCCCTTTCGGGCAACCGTTGCTGCTGTTGCTTTTGAGAGTCTGCGTGCCGAGCCCATTGTATTTGCTGCTCGGGTCATCGCGTGGTCGTGCTTCGGGGTCTTGTGTTGAGGTAGTTCCAGTTCGGGAACGCGCGAGGACGACAAACCAAACGGAACCTTACCCTGACCAGCCGAGGCTTTTGCGGCCGCCACGGATGCCGTGTATCTGCAGTGCCTGGAAGACAGGCGGCCGGAAGTTCTCCAGAAGGAGGGCAGGATGTCCCGGATTCTCGGAACTAGCATGAACTAGCATCCATGCAGGTGCTCGGCAGAATCCCGCACTCTTGTCCCTCGACCTGCTCCAAGTCGCTGTTATCTGCCGTGCTCATTACCCAGGAGTGTTGTTCTGGAGTTCTTGGATGCCTGCAACGTGAAGATGGACACAGCCGAGGCTCGGCGGCGCATGTTTTACTCACGACGAGTTCCCTTCTCGTTGATGTTTGCAAGTGGACTGAAGGGCCCTCATGCGAGGTGCAAGAGAAGCTTCGGCGCAAGATCCAGGAAACAGGGGCCCTGCCAGAGACCGTAGCCTGGCAGATTGCAGGACCACGGATTCGTGTTGCCGTGAGGGCAGTTTTTTGACAACGGCTTTCGGGTTCTTGCTTCTATTCAAGGTGGCGAACGAAGTGCATGACGAGGTCATGGAACTTCTGGGCTTTGAGAGCGCGTGCCCTGTGATGATCCTTTGTTTTCCTTTTACCCACAATAGGTAGCCTTCGTGGAGCTGATCCGCCCATGCCACTTTCTTGCTTTGCTGTCACCGTGCTAGTGAGCCTCTTTCCCCCCAAGCCCTGGCCCCCAGTGTCCCAGGTATGGGCATTCTTGCTTCGCTGAATTTGGCACATCACAGGCCACGGGGCAAACGAAGCCAAAGCCCGAAGAGCCTAAGCACCCGCAGCGCGAAGTAACGCTGCAAAGGAGTTTGCCCATGACAAAGACGTTGCCACGGCCTATGCGAGATGGCGTGGTCATTCCAGCTGCCTGCCTCCATTCTCTTGTGTCCAAGGAGTTCTTAGAAGGACTCGCTCATCCACGGTTTGGAGAAGTGTCTTCGAAAATCAACTGCTTTTTCGCTTCGGGGTATCTTCCTCCGACACACTGGGCCGTTCTCTTGGGGAGTCAGGTGAAGTGTTGGGGTCGTGCTAGGTGAGATAATGTTCAAGCTTCTCTACGACCACTGGCACAGTGGTGGTGCGCTGCATGTCGACGCAGTGGTGCTGCTCGCCTTACTAACGGCGAATTTCCAACAGCCTCGGGAAGGTTTCCGCCTGGGGGAGTTTTCGACCGGGTCTCGGAATTTGAGGAGAATGTTCAGTCTGTGCTGTGGCGTTTGCAGTTGGGGCAATTGTGCCGAAGGCCAGTGGGCCCTGATTCGATACGGCGTGACGTTAGCCCAAACAGCCTCTTGTGGAAGCCGTCCAAAAGCGTATTTGCAACTTGAAAACAAGCCTGTCCAAAAAATGACAGTATTTCTTGGTTGAGTTGGTGAGCCCTTCACAATGGACTGGCCTCCGGAAGACACAAGAGTCGAAGGGCCGAAAGGCGTAGCCGTGGTTGGAGGTCCCACCATTGTTTGGTGTTTGTTCCGCTTTGTAAGACATGCAACCGTAGTGGTGATGATGTCGATGCAGGTGCTGCTCTTATGCGCTGATGGTGAGAATGACACTGCTGCGGTTGAGGTTGACACTCGAAGCGGCGCACTGTTATTTTCTTTGCATGTGCTGTAAGATTTTAACCCTAAAGGTGATGATGCAGATGCAGCCCCTGGTGGTGACATTGGCACTTCTTAGAGGAAGACAGCAGTGGCGGTGACGATTGCAGAGGGTGGCTGATGATGACGCTGCTACGATGATGATTTTTGGCGCCGGTGGTGCTGGCGGTTGTGATGCTACTTCTTGCTAGCAGCTCCCGCAGGGGTGGCCAGCGTTTGGAATTCATGTCATTTGATGTCGGGTCGGAGGAAACACCAGATGATGAAGCACGGGGCGAAGGTCCAGTTGAATCAGATGTCGACTGACGAGCGCCGGCAGTTGCTGGAGTCCAGCATCGACAAGGCGCGGGTAGGCTATCCAATAAGCTTTCGCTTCCACACGTCAAAAAAGTCCATAGTTCGGACTTGTTAAGGTCAGCGTCTTCCACAAACTGCCGCACGATGGGCGACAACGCTATTTGGAGCGGCTGGATGACCAGGCGTGCACGGCTGACGGGGCACATCGCCGAAGTACTGGCAGAGGCTTCGCATGTTGAGGTTGTTGGGAGCACTGTGTGAGGAGATGCTGGAGTTCACGAAAGCTGAGATCTTGGTGGCCACCTTGGTGCAAAGTCGCCACCATCCGCACCGGACGGAGTAAGGATCGGCCCGTGCGAGAGTGATTGGGGTTCTAAACTAGAGCAGTGTCTGGCTCCTGGCAGCCAGCTTTGCATCGGTTTGAGCGAATCCCACAAAATGACAGGCTAAGCATCTTTCTGCCATGTGTTACAGTACCTGTAGAGCGGGAGCAGTGCCCAAGTCCGTGCGACAGTTGAATTGTGACTTTTAATAAGCTCCTTCCGAGTCTTTCCCTCGTGGTCATCGCTTTAATTACTCCCCGTAGTGAGATCTGTTAACGGGGTCAGCGACTGGAAATGGCTTAGCCTCTGTCAGGTGTCGCCAAAAAATCTGATCTGCCGCGAGAGCCACCGGCCCCGTTCGGAGCAGTTTGCGCCTCAGCGGCCGGAAGCGCAAACATCAAAGCCCGGAAAGCCCGGAATCCGCTTTTGGTGTAAGAGTTTGTGGAGTGACGACTCCTGCATAAGGTGCGCTCTGTGATTTGTAGCGGATGGAGTGAAACAAGCATCCCTGCAGAAGCCTCGTACTCGCGAAGCGTCTGTCACGTCAGATGGTATGGTGGAGAGACGAAGCCGTCGTATGGCTTCCCGAAATCGAGACTTTGGAACCATGTTGTTCACACTCCTGCAGTTGTTGGGCTTCGCGCCGTTTGCGAATGCTCGGGTCAACAACAAGCTATGCATCATGTACGGAATAGGCTATGCCACAAGTTTTGGTCAAGATGAGAGCGAGAACGCTTATGTTTGCGGTTCTAGGGTTCCTCTCGCCTGTATTTCCTAGTTCTCCCTCTCGGAGACCCATTGACTACTGCGGCCGTCCCGCAATGAACTCTAGAGGACTGCTCGTGCCATTGTGGCTCCAAGCCCGCCGCCCTTTTCGTCGGAGCCCTGTCCATGAACTGCAGTCTTTTCCAGAAGGCTGGGAAGGATGTCAGAAGAAAGGTAACACGACAACCTGAGCAGTGATCAAAGCAATGGTCACTCGCGAAAAGCAGAAGCAGCAGCAATCGCAGTAGAAATAGTAGATGTGCTTCAATACCCACACAGTAGCAGCAATTTAACCCCAGGCAGAGAGGCACGGAAGCTCTTTCTTGTGCAATGGGCTCGCGATGTGCGCAGCGTCTCCTCAATGGCGAGCAGGCACCCTCCCTGGAGGCACAGCCTTCACCGAGTTTGCTGTAGTCTTGCAGCTTGGGGACCGATTGGGCATGGATGGTTTGGAGAGTATGAACGGGCTCGTCTCTCATGGGGCCAAGTTCCCGAACTCTTTGAGGCATAAGTATTGCTTCAGGACTGCTGCCACCTGGAAGGGGAGACGCCAATCGAGATCAGGCAGGGGTCCAATAGTGGGAAACCTGGAGCATCGGTGGTGACACTGAAGTCTGAGGGTGGCTCTTGCCCATTGCCGGGGCTTGGATGCCTTGGTCCTAGGTTGCTCTTTGTCTTCTGTGTGCTCTGACCGAGTCTTTTCAGTTCGCCGAGCGGGCGAAGAGAGTGCCCAAACGCAGGATTCCTCGACAACCCGGCCAGGGCCCTGGTGCGAATCTTGCAGAGAGGACAAATGCCCTGCCACCTCAGTGTAAAGCGGGGCATAGAGAAAGCAGTGAAGCATTTTTGAGGGGCTTCAGTGGTGTGTGTGAACTTTGGCATCCTTAAGCCAGGAGGAGCTCCTCTCAGCGTGGCAGTGTTCCTCAAACAGTACTGAGTAGTCGCTGTCACCTGCGTCCTTGTTGCAGCTTTGCCTTGGTAACCTGCAGGTCGAAAACCTTGCGCTAACGCCTCGAAGCTCGCTTCACACCGAGGATGGTACGCAGGACCGCGGTGGCAGAGCCCACCGTTGGTCATGCCCCATATGCGGGTGGCCCACCGGGTTGCCACATGGCTGTGCCCAAATCCCAAACAAAGACACCCCGCAAGTGAAACTGATTGCAAGGCTGACTGCTCTTTCCTGCAGTTCAGCTAGCAAACTCCTGTTGTAGGGCGGGAAGCATGCCCCGAACTGCATCAAGCCAATCCCTGCAACCTGAGTGCACGACTAGTGAGTTCAAACATGTTAACTAAATCCCCCCATGTAGGAGGCAAAAAAAAACAATTAACTTCTCGGCATTCTCGGAAGTGGAAACGTGTCTTTGGAAAGAGGATGAGGATGAGATCTGTGTAGCTTAGCGCCTGTCGAACTGCGTAAGCCCCAGCTCGTGGAAAGACTCTGAAGCATCTAAGGGCCCGCTTCCGGAAGCCGAGAAGCCGCCGATGCCGATTGGTGCACCGCTCATGATTACGATGGCGACTTCGGAATACACGAGACCATGTCTCGGGTCTCGAATGTGCCTACAGAGAAGAATGCCGAGTACGAATGTTAGTAACTAGTACCAGTGATACCACCATGACGACGACGACTACCGCTACGAAAGCCACTACCACTACCATTATCACTAACACGACCTCTGCCACTGCCACTGCTTCCGCCACTGTGGCCACTTGCCCCTGCCACTGCCATCGCCAGTATTACTACCACTGCTGCTGCTACTACTGCTGCTGCTACTACTGTGGCTACCACCACCACCATGGGTGCGGCGGTGGTACGTGAGTTGAGAAGAGGCTGTCTCTGCTGGTTGCCGTGGTCCTCAGATGACGTAGGATCCTTGGTGTTCTGCCGCGGATGTGTTAGCTCCAGTGAACTCGTAGTTTGCATATTTTGGTTGGTTTTCTGTTTGTTTGGCTTTGAACTTAGTAACGGCCGAGTCGTGACCCTGCAGTGCTGTCGTAGCCGTGCCTAGTGGCTGACAAACAAACCACACCACCGCCGCTGCCAGAAGCAGCAGCAGCACCACCGCCGCGACGACAACGACGGCTACGACGGCTGTGTTCGGTGTGTGGATCCTACACTTCGTTCGGGTTTACGTTACTCCTACTCCTACTCCTACTCCTGCTGCTGCTCTGCCGCTACTGCTCCTGCTTCATACTTTCCCTACTGCTACTAACTGCTACTACCCAAATTTGGAGCACCAACGGCACGGGCAGCAACAAGTCTAAACCCCGCGTCCTCGTTACGCAAATAGACTTTTGCTAACGATGGGTCGCTTACGATCACCTGGGGCGTGCTGGGCTCGTTCCACTCCGACGCACTTCCAAAAGGGCTTCACGTACCAACCAACCCACCTCAATCGAACCAGGATCAATTCTGTTTACCAGGCGTGCCCGGCCGCTTTCCGCCCCCTGCAGCGCCGGTACTGTCTCGCCGGCAAGGCGACGAGCATGGCTTCGACGGTGTGGCCTGGGTGGCAATGGCCTAGCAAAAGGGAGTTGTCTTCCTTGGATCGCCGAGATTCGCCGAGGACGCCTTTGCAGAGCCGCCGGACTCTGCGCGATGGAGTCCTGGACGCTTGTCGAGACGTAGCGGGAGATGTTTTGGCATTTGGGCATCCCTTACTATCGCTTGGAGGCTTTGGGCTTAGGGGGGTCGACTCGACATCGGGCACCCGGTGTCAAGGTCCTTGTTGGTGGGATCGTAAGTGGAAGCAGAAATCCGGCCGAGACTCCCGGACGTCGCAACGGTGAGAGACGGCGCAGCCTCTTCCCTCAAGCCACACGTACCATACAGGGCTGATGCACGACCCGGCGGTGCTCCAGATGCTAAACACCTGGACGGCAGAGCCCGGCCATTTTCCAGCCACTGGACGGCAAGTTGGTAGAGGTGTTGGCATGCTGGCTTGCACGACTCCATCGTGAAATTGCTGCGACAGAATTCGGTGTTGTTCTTAGTGAGCTGTGCAGGTGCTCTGAAACCTTTACTGGTGAACATGGAGTGCATGTCTCAAGCAAGGAGATCGTCCGCGTGCAAGGGCAAAGCCCAGGTCGTGCTTTTCGCTGTCAGGGGGCAAGTTCGGGATATCCTGAGCCTGCGGCAAGCAAGCCCTGAAGCACTTCACATCATTTCCCTGCCATCCAGTCTGTCTGAGCTCACTGCGTCTGCAAGCATGACGGCCCAATGGCAGTCAGTTTTTGCTGCTGGCACGTTGTGGTTCAGGCCTCAGTGAGGGCGACGATGGAGAGGGCGAGGACGACGAGGGTGTGTTGCAGGTGCTCCTTACAGGATCCCGAAGCAGCAGAAGTCTGGCAAGCAGGTCTGATGCCTTATTGACGAACTTGCCGGAACAGTTTGCATCATGAGCCCGAAGTTGTTGGGCCCCGTGACGGCTGGTCTCATAGAATCAGAACGAACTACTGAGAAATGTCTGCGAACACACTAACGAAATCTCTTTTTTCAGGTCTTGGGCTAGAAGGTCGGCTAGTTCAATGCCGTGACCACCACCAAGTCAAGTGTCAAAATTTCTGTTGGTGTCCTCGTCAAGTACATCGGCGGTGCAGGGTTGGACAGCGTGTTGCAGCTCTGGCTCTTGTCAATGTGCCCTTTGCAAGATCTCTGCAAGATCCCTGTCTCTAAACTCCCATCTGCGCCCGTCTGCTGCCTTCTGATTCTTAGCTTCTTCTGCAGTTCGGCGACTTCCGAGGTGCCAATGTGACGCCGCGGGTTTTGGGCTGCGGGCCGTGAAAACGCGTGAAGACAGACAAGCGGCAGAAGCGGCTTCCGAAGAATTGCCGCCGTGATTGCGATTTCGATGTCACGTCATGGTTATGGCCCATGTATGGCGTTTTGATGTGACATGGGTGCATCTTGTAGCACTGATGCCAAGCTGCTATCTAAACGTCGAGTCTACGTTTCTTACTTCGACAGAACTCATGATGCCATGATGAAGTGTTATTCTTGTCATGCATCGCTGTTAATCCGCTTCCCTGTGGTTCTCTATTGTTATAATCACGATCAGGGTCATGGTTGTCATTTTGGTGACTGCTTTTGCCCTCGTTGTTGTTCTTGGTGCAGAATTCAAAAAAGCATTCCTAGTCGCTACTCCAGAGTTATTGTTCTTCCTCGAATTCATTGTTCTCGTTTTGCTCTTTCAGCTGCTTTGCTGGTTGGTCGTGCTTGAGAACACCACAGTGTTCTTTGTTAGTGCGATCCAAACAGTAGTCATCCATTTGCACACCTCGCAATCATACGCGCCGAAGCGGATGCACTTGGTGCGGAAGCCAGCTGGACTTTCAATCAGTTGTTTCACCCAGTGGGGCCAACCGCATCCGGGATCGAAAAAGTTGCAGGGTTTGGGTCACACCTTCTGTTCCCTGATGGTACTTGAACATGCATCAGTCTTTGACAGAGATTCTCGAATCTTACCCCTGTCGAAACCCCAAGTCCGGCCGGGAGCACGGCTCCCGTCGCCACTCGCAGCTTTGGATTTCGCCCCTTTCCGAGCTCAGGCCGTGGTTCCTCCAGCGGCTTCGGATGAGTGAAAAAATCAAGCTCTCCTGCTGTCGTGCAACTTGTTTTTGCGCGCCGGTTTACCTGAATACCCAGCTTTCGCCAGCCCTAACGCATGTTAGCAGTGGCAGCCACGGCCAGCGATAGGCAGAGTTGGGACGCCGCGCAGATAGGAGCTTTTCGTTGCTCGGGGTTGTGCTGCAAGCCTTGATTCTAGATTCGCAGTCGCCATGTCGCAGCATTAGGGCGCAAGTGGTCAGAAAGGTGATAAGTCATGGCACTCATAGAAGAATGCCGCCTTTGCGACCATGGCAAGTCGTGGCGCCCGGGCTCTGCTTTGCATTTTTTCCCCAACAGCGAAGCGATGGGGTCTTCAGCCCTTGGGTTTTGGAGCGGGTTCCGGAGCGGGTTCCGGAGCGGGTTCCGGAGCGGGTTCCGGAGCGGGTTCCGGAGCGGGAGCGGGTTCCGGAGCGGGTTCCGGAGCGAGTTCCGGAGCTAGTTCTGGAGCGGGTTCCGGAGCGGGTTTCGGAGCGGGTTTTGGAGCGGGTTCCGGAGCGG